CTTGGTAGAGACTTCTTCCAACTGACATTTATTGCAAATATAAAATTGAATTTTTAATGCGGGACGCGTATTAGGGACTTTCATTTTGGTTCCACCCATTATACAATGGGTGATTTTGTGTTAAATTTTGTGAATTATCAATGCGCTTTTAGTCTAATTTTGGTGTTTTTAACTCATGTTTTGGGTGTTGATGACTTAAGTTTTATTACGCTTTCATGATCGCCAAACATCAGATGTTGTTGTGAAATTTTTATCTTACATATGACACGCTTCGACTTACGAATTAATTTTACGATATCCAAAATTGTGTCGTGTTACTAAGTTTCAGGCTCCATGAAGCAATTTTAAGCAGTATCTTTTATTGATGCATATTGCGTGACTCCAAAGAGATAATTGATATTCTGTCAAACCGACTGGGTTTAAAATATATTTTTTCCTAATTAAGGAAAGCCGACGCATCAGTTTTGTAAATTTTTGCTAAATATTTTGTGTCAACAAATTTTCGTTGAAAAATCTTTAAATTTTTGCAAAATTTGCTTGGCATTGGAACATATGCTATATTTGCAACTGCCATTACAAAGGTTTAGGTAAGCGTTTCTTTTAAAATCGAAATTTCAGGAATAATCTTTTTAGGAGTAGAGCGATAACACAACAAATTTTGCTTGTCCTAAAGTGACATAAATTAAGGTATTAACTAAATAATGCCACCCCTTTTATTCATGTAGTATCCGAGTTTGACCAGAGTGATTTGGTTCTAAGGTCGCTGCGAGTTCAGTGTAACAAATAATTTTACTTCTGTGTGTCCTTCCTTTACAGGTAAGTATTAAAATATTAAAGACTTGGGTAGGCTTTGCTCTATGCATTTAATGTATATTTTTATATCAAATTACCCGAATGCAAATTTTTTTCTATCATTTTTGGCCTCCACTCCGTCGGTTAATTTCGGAAATTAGCCTTTATTCACCCTGATATAGCATGTAAACGCTTTGATTAAGTCCGGCTTTTCTAAACTTACTAAAATGGTAAAATTAGTAGTTAATTTGAACGTGCAATGGTCTCAATTTATGCGGAATGCGTTTCTTCAAAGTCATGGCACCTTTAACGAAATCGGTTTTCTTATGTGACCCACTGTATAGACTATCACATTGAGCTCATGGGCAAGTTCTTTTTAAGTTAAGTATATTTGATCCCTAAGTAATCATTTTATATTCTGCTAAATGTGGATTGAAGGATGTGTGCCCAAGTGAAAATTTCCCCTTACGTGATTTTTGTTCATGTGTGTAAAATGCCTTGTTAGTCAACTATCTGAAAAACCTCTCTGCTTTATGCTGTTCAAGCAAGGATTTGGTTCGTGGTTTATTCCGTTACTATGTGTATTTTGGAAGCCCGTGGTGCTTATTTTCAGTTTAGCTGCTTTTTAGTACCACTACAGTCTTATATTCCTGCCGCAATACAATTTGCACTGTCGCCATGCATTGTCTAATCTTGTTGATACAACTGGCTTGTTCGAATGCTAAGGTTGTTTTCGTTTCTCATCCTTGTTTTATTCTTGTGACTTGGACATTGTGTTGCGTTGATTAAGCATTCGGTGCCTAAATAAGACGATGTAGTTAATGATATTTCATTTTGTGTGACGTTTTCTATTATTGCAAACCTAAATCTCGCTTATGAGTTTTACCACTTTTAGGACTTTACCTTCGGTGATTTGGCCTAGGACGTCCTGACTGGTCCCCGTCTATGCACTAATAAAGTATTGCTGCTGGATGTACAAGGTTGGTCCAAGAAGTCCACTCAAGTACCATGACACCAACGCTGCTGAGGCAGACGAAGTACCAACAGATATCAACTCCCCTAATAGGCACTACAAGGCGTCCATTTTTTTCAGTGCAGTTGAGGCTTTTTCACTCTACATTCATCCGTCCCCAAGTGGTATCATCGGAGGTTTTCCCGCTTCAATTGTTAACTTTTGGTGGAAATTTCCTTCCTCGTCATGTCGTTTCCCAGTGGTAGCTATCATTCTGATGCAGACGTCATCCCAACTTATACTGTCTGCATTATTGGTGATCCACAGTCCGGGAAGTCCTGTTTCTGCAATCGGTTTGTCTACTCGCATCCTGACTGGTATCAAGAGGGTCATCCCTCAGTGCTAAGTGAGGCAGATTTTAGTGGGCCGGTGGTCAATTTTGACCACTGGTTGTACTGGGGCACTGTTACGCGTCGCTTAGATGACGAGGCAAGCGTCCGATTCTGTGTGATAGAGCAGACCGAATTTCTGAGTGATGCTACCTCTCTTCCCTTCCGCTCCCCTAAAAAGCTTTCTCTCTCATCCAACGCTTCCTCTATCCACCTGAATAACGTTGCTACAGCATCCGGTGTAGCCAGCCCTACGAATGTTACCCCTTTCCCTCTCAAAGAGTTGCATTCGTCGAATCGCTTACATGATTATATCCTACGCAGCACCGCCATTAATCTTTACTCTCCCGGGAAACTACGCTACTACTCTTTTGAAAAACTCGGCCAAGAACAACACTGCCAACAAGAATCTTTTCATAATCCAGGTCCACTTGAAGTCCATGGCTTCTTGGTAATTTATGATGTGAGCCGCCGTGCCTCATGTCATGATCTCCCCGATCATCATCAGCAACAATTCTCCTTCCTTGTTGATGTCCTCACTCTTATTTCGAAGCGGAAGAAACCCATTGTTGTGGTTGCCTCGAAACGGGATGCTGTTGACGAGCAATGCCTTTCGGGCGTTATCCAGTTTCTCCAAAAATCTGCCGATTTTCGCAAGATTCCCATCGTCGAAGTCTCAGCACACAGAAATATCAACGTGGAATTAGCTTTTCTTACACTTGCCCGGCTGTTGGATGGCACTGGCAACGGCAACAAATCCCGATGCTCAAAAATAAAGTTGCTCTCCTACCAGGATGCGATTAGAGAGCAGGAAGAACACCAGAGGCGACTTCGGGAGGCATTTGTAAATAGGGTGTCGCTATCTCCTGTTGGATTTTTGACTGACTGGCAGACTTTTTTATCACGTTATAGTCATCAGAGTGATGTAGCAAGGTTCATTGATTTGTGGGGTTCTGAAGTCGCCAGGGAGACGTTTGAACAATTCACAGCTCAATGGAAAAATGAGACTAAGCGTCGACATTTGGCTAAACTTCCTGATGCACTCTCGACGATGCTGCTCTATGTTGGGCCCGTCACAAACCAGTACGCATGTTGTACCATATCTCTACAGATCACGAAACCTCACCTTTTTGTGCCAACATTATGTGTTGCCCACCTTTTCTATCAGAAGTATGGAAGCTTGCTTTCGGGGTTCAACTTTGCTGGTCAACAGCCTGGCCTTATTGTATCTGGTGTGAAAACTGCTGTCTGCTTGGCAAGCATTTATTTGGGTTTCTCGGCACGGAAGTTCGTTATTAAGGCTATTAGCGACTGTACCTATCATTTTAGTGGTGTCTGTTCTTTTTATTCAAAAACGTTTATGATACATATCTGTACTGGGTACGTGACATGCCAAATAAAGTATTGGATTTTATTGGAAGTATCGTAAAAACGGCGTCTAACTTATCGAACAGCGTACCTCTAGTGGGCTTATTGCACTTTCGGTATTTGAGCAGGTTATTCCACTTTTACTTGCTAAAAAACTTTAGTTGTTTTAAATTTTATTCAGTGATCAACATTCCTATTTATTTGTTTGTTTTAATTTTTCCATATTTAATTGGAACTAATTTGTAGACCTCCAGGTGATATTCTTCAACGACTACGCACTCACTCCCAGTTCGAACACTTCTTTATCAGTGAAAAATCATCCGACGACCCTATCAACGATAGCAACTTTCTTCAGCGCCATGGTGTTCAGAAAGACGAGTCGAAAATTCCCTTTTCTTTGGCCCTTAAAGAACCCCCTGATAATGGTGACTCGCCATTTATTGAGTCCATCAAGTCGCTTGTTTGTGCTGAGGCCTGGGCTGCAAATATGTCGGCTTTCGAAGACATCCTCTTACAACGCCAATTTATTGGTACCAAAGATTTTTCTTTAACTATCCTTCCTGGACAATCCTTTAACGACTACAAACTCTCCCTAATCGATTCTGGGTCTGATCTGAGTCACGAGGAAAAGCTTGAGGTGTACCAGAAATTCCAGGAATGTATTCGCCTGACCGCTCGTGAGGAGTTTCTTGACCTCCTGCTCGAACATCTCCCCCAGTTTATTTGCGTTGTCTCCGATTATTTAACTTGTCTCGGTGATAATTACATTACGACAGCCGCCTCTGTTTTACAGACACCGCCCAATCGTTTCCCTGATATGAACCGCAGTCGACCGGCTTCTCCTGTCAGTGAGCAGACCAATGTCCCCATCCGATCTGTTCAACTGCCTTCTGCGGATATTCGGCTTTGTGCTGGGCTTGCACCACCTCGAGGTGCCAAGGAACAGCAACTTGGATTAATTCGTGATCGAATTTCTTGTGATCGTCGCTATCGCGCCATGGACTACATGCCAAGTGAACGCCAGACCCTTCTTGCTAGTCACTTCGATATTCTCCTTCCCCGATCATCAAAAACTGAAATTTCGCCGTCGCAGCCTCAGACCAGTTTTCATCGACACTACTCCTGCTCTTTTGTGGATCAAAATAACTCCTTTAAGTTGGCCTTCCCTCTGCCTCACTGTCCAGCTTACCAGACTGGTCGGTGTATGGATCTACTTTTCACAAATCTCTGTTCTGATTTTGGGTGGGGTGTCAGATGGGAGCAGGGCAGCTTTTCCAGTCATCTTTCGTGTCTTCTCGGTCAAGGTGGTGACAAGCGTTTGTGTGTGGCGGTGTGTGCTGTGTGCACCGACGTCACAGCCGCAAGCGCCGCCATCAATCTTTTTCGGGCAGCTGGCTTTACGCCAGAAGGCGTGACTAGCCCAAATCAGCTCACAACATGTTATTATTCCGGTTCCACCCAGACTCTCGTCTCATCTTGGCCGCTAGCTTCCACTCTGCTCACACCAGCTGATAACGTGGCTTCCCTCATTGGCAATCCAATGATTTCCACTGTCATGGGCACCGTACAAGCAACCTTCCTCTCTCATCATGAGGCAAGTTCACATCGTCACTTCTTCAGTGTCATCTGTCAGTGTTTCCCTTTGCAGCGAGTCTTATGATTTTAGGAACTGTGGGTTGTAATAGTGCCTTTCTTAGGTCATATTTGACGCGTGGACGTGAAAAAATCATGAGTGTCTCTCCTTGTTAACGCCTTAAGTAATATTTTTATCCACGAATTGGTCCTTCGTTAACGTAGAGAGGAATTTACTCGTTAATGAAGTACTGCCCAATTTCATCTTTTTCGCTTAACGCAGTGTGGCGCCAGGCTTGTGAGACATTAACATCCTATCGTTCACCGCATAATCGGTCATATCATGCTATAAGTTAGTAAACAGCAAGTTGGATTAAGCTGTTTAAGTCCGTTAGACATTCTAAACAAATTGTTCTTAAGTAAATAGAATTCAATTAGTTTGTTTGAAAATCGATTCGTTCTGGCAACACTGTTTGGCGTTAATCGGTTACCTTTAAAAAGGTGATGGGGAAATAACTTTTATTGGATCTCAAAATATCTTAGCACTGCGGTCGAGCCGATGTATGCTGGTTATCAGAATGTTCTGGCTTTTAATAGTCTGATCTAGCTAAATCTCCATTGGAGCAATAAGATCTCTCAACTTATTAAAAGAATGCAGTACCTACATTACATTTTCGTACGAATTGATATTGTCAACCTCACAGTTGAATATTGTGGGTTTCCATTCGTTGCATTTAGCTTTTTTAGTCGAGTACCGTTTTACAGGTAACCCTTGACTACCTCGAGACGAAAGTCGTCACTCGAGAGGTAATAGGTGGAGTCGGCGAGCTCGACGTTTATTTCGCTAAGATTAGTCAAATCAGTGTCGTCATGTGGTCAGTATAAATGCTAATACAGACGCTGTGTGTATGGGATGTTGACCTCACGTCCGATAATCCAACGTCAGAGCTCTTCCCTCGTAGCTAATCTGAACACTCCGTAACCGTTGTTGATTTCTCATGTATGGTAAAATGGCTAAATTGTTGTAAAGACCAACTATTGTTCAGGAAGGCTAATTTCAAAGTCATTCAAAAATGAAGAACTATGGAGTCTTTTTTTATTTCATGCTTCGCTGTGCCTCCTTCCATCCACTTCTGTTGAACGTTAAGGGGCTGGCCAGCAAATCATGAATAGGACTAAAATGCAAGTCCCTAATACGCGTCCCGCATTAAAAATTCAATTTTATATTTGCAATAAATGTCAGTTGGAAGAAGTCTCTACCAAGCTGTACTTATTTGTCGTGTTACCGCCCCTGTCTGTTATTTGCATCTATCTGGTGGGAACGGGTAAAACTAAATTTTCAATGACGAGGGGATTTAAGAAGGCTCAAGTAAAGAAGTCTGATTTAATGTCCAAAAGATGGAAAATAAATGGATTACAAGAAGGGGCTAATTAACTATCCGAGTAACGTTCCGACGTTAATAGTGCGCGTTAATAGTAGAACTGTTCTATGATTTAATTCCACACGCCCACGATGTAGCAGTTTTTTAACACAATGGGTGGTTATTTGCTACCTTCGTATCCTGAGTCGCGAATAGGAGTATTGGCTCAAACCATCAGCGCACATAGATGAAATGGTAAATCAACTTCTATTCTGACATCCGATTTTATAATATTCAACAAATTCCTCGTCATTGAGTTAAGTATATATTAAATTTTGCAATCGGTCAGCTATGGGCATTTCGGACGTTTTTGCAGTCTTAATCTGTGTGCAAGTAAGAATTTTTTAACTGAATGTTTTGTACGTCAGTCTAAACGATTTACTGAAAAGTATAAATTTCATCCAGTGAAATTCCCTGGGTTTAACTGTTGACTAATTGTAATGCTTTGAGGTGTAATATTAGCCTCTTTACTATCCTATGATGCTTTAAGGCTATTGTTAAGATGGAGACGGCTTAATGTTGAAGGAATAAACGTTGACACCTGCAAAATTTATTCCTTTTGAAAACAGCCGTAAAATTTTGCTAAATAGATGCATGCTCCCCTAATAATTCTGAGATCCAAAGCGATAAAAAAGTAGTTTTTTTCTGGTTTTGGGTTTTTAAAAAAATACCAAGAATTAACTGATATAAACGAACAAATAACATTTAGCCAAATAACCATGCACTTTACCTTACTGCCATGTTCGAAAATCATATTTTTATTACTGTTTTGACCACTGATAATGTGATAGGTCTAATATCGTTGTAGTTTTCATTGATAGAAATCTCCTTTTGCTATTTACTAGGTGGCTTTCCTGATTTTTAAATTGGATTTATATAGTTTCTGTAAACAAAGTCATGTTTGCCTCTAACTTCAATTCTGTTGTCCTTATGTGTTTCCTTTTGTGTACTCTTTTGAGTCATGTTTCATTTTTATATTGTGTTGCTCCTACTCTTTCCTTGTTTATCATTATTTATTCGAAGTAAGAATTACCTCATGGCGATATTTTTTGTCTTCACACTGCTCCATTGCTGTATTTATGGTTCCACGCCTTTAGTTGCAGGCTTGGAAACTATAAGAAACGTGATTTTTTGTTCCGTCATCCCCTATATAACATATCAGTAGCTTTACTTTTTCCAAGTTATCGATGAATTGTCATATTTCCATGCCATTTACGATTATGGGCGACCCCATTAACTCTGTTATTTGCAATTGCGGTGACCGGGTGTCAGCCCAAATAATGAGTTTAAACATAAACTGATACGTCTTTATGTTGATTGTCTTGATTTCATATAATTTAAGAGAAACGTTGATGATGTGGGCTTTTCTATAATTTGGTGGATTGTGTTAAAGCCCTTTTCTTGAATTTAACTTGTCCTTGTAAAGCTAGCAAAATAAGAAATGCCTGGCAGGCTTCAATGTAATTAAGAGGGTGTACGTGTAAAGTGATTAATCGTTCTTTTCCCGAGATTTCGAGGCAGAATGTCCCAAGAATGCCATTCTAGGTCAACCCAATGTTAAATATTTCATCAGTTTGCTTAAATGAATTATAGTTCACATTTCTTTCCACGTGATAATTTGTAAATTCAACTGCTGCATTCTCAATGTAAAAGAGAGTACTTATTTGTATCTATGACTTTTAGATCATTGTCTTTGTCCCTTTTAGACTGCAGTTCGATGCGATAGGTTATGCACAAATTGCTTCCTAAATTGATAGGGGGGCTGACATAAATCTTTTACGAGTCTGTTTCAACATGCCCTTTACCCCATGCCTGTACCAGTATTTTTGAATGCCATCATTTTCATGCATCCCGTATATGTGGGTATTGTGTTAGTTTTATTGGGGTTGAAATGGTCACAGGTGTACGTACGGTAACCTAACTTGCAGTTCGTGGGACTGGAAATATGAAATTACGTTGTTCGAAATTCCAAACGTAGCTTTTCATTGTAGTTTTTAGGTAGTCATTCTAGTTTCAATATGTACATCGCTTTTTCAGCATAAGCATCGTGTGAGCGGGTTTATGACCCCACCCGCGTTATCATTGGAAAGACTTCGCTTGAAGTATTTAGGTAGTACCATTTTGACGCGGTAAAAAATATTCAGAAAGATTTGATGATTTTCCAATTTAATTTTTTAACTTTTGAACTTTTCAAAAATCGTTTTTTTTCATTTTTCTGCTTATTGATAAAATGTTTCGAATATAGATTTAAAAGTGCTTTGTAATGCGGATATTTAGTCATAAATTCACATATTTTAATAGTCAAAATCTAACTAGCGAATGAAATGTTGAATGGCCAATTTTGGAATTTGGTTTTTCATCTTTATTGGATTTTGCGTATTGTAATATGTTATCAAATATTCGAACCACGCTTTTGCGTATCGTGGTTTCATATTGGCTTTAAAAGAAAAATATTTCTAAATTTTCAGATATACATAACATCTTGGTTTAAAGGGTTTTAGCTAAGGTAATTTTAGTGATCTTTCAAATAGGCCAGCATCTAAGTTATTAGCATTTTGACGTAGTTCGCAAGGAACTTGTTGCTTTTTCCCCGTCCTTTAATATTCTAAGTATAATTCATTGACATAAACTGGATTCACAATTTATTTTTCAGAAAATGCGCACATTATTAGTACTGCAGAAATGATTACAAAGTAATAATATCAAATAATGCTCCGGAAATTTCGACTCATTATTTACATTTACCATATTTAAGAGTAAAGACGTCATCTCAAGCCGGCACAACTTTTCGATGACCTGGGTGGGATAAATTAATCATGTTTTCGAGGCAATTTGAGTCGAAACTTTTGTAAATATCAACTTGAACAATAGTGAAACAGGCATATTTAGCCGAATGGGGAATGATTTGATACAGACAGGAATCCTTAGCAAATTGCCTTCCAAATGTATGCTTGAAAGGTGTGAAAATTTTTTTATGGGAGAGAAACTTGGACACGCAATATGAATTATTTTTGAATGTTGAGAATAGGACATAATTTCTTTTACATTAACAAGTTTCAGCTGATGCAGCAAAATGATGCATAAATTCGGCAGTTAGACTTTTGAACCCTGCTTAGTAGCGCTTTAGCTGATCAAAATATGTTGGTAGTGAATAGTGGCAAAGCTGTTGCTGCTCTATCGAAAAGGGTCCTAAGTAAACCGCGATGTAATCCACCCAATCAGAGCACAGGTTTAATCAGTGGCTGCTTCGCTGCTGTCACTTCGCGTTAATTCAGGCGCTTGTGAGGATGTTGCGGACCTCCGTGGCTTTTGTTAAGGTAGTTTTTGTGAGATCCAAATTGCTTTTCAGTTGTCTCAGTTATTTGGTAGAAGTGGAAGGTCGATATCAACCTCTCAATGCCTCCTTGGCAACAAAATGACTGTTCGTGAAGCCATCAACAGCGCTTTAAAGGAAGAACTTGAGCGAGATAAGAGTGTGTTCATTTTGGGAGAGGAGGTTGCTCAATATGACGGAGCATATAAAGTAAGTAGTAATATTTGTTCAATGCTCATTTTTAGGTGACAAAAAACTTGTGGAAAGCGTTTGGTGACGATCGTGTCATTGACACGCCCATTGCTGAAATGGGATTTGCTGGCATTGCGGTCGGTGCGGCCATGGCTGGCTCAAGACCTGTTTGCGAGTTTATGACCTTTAACTTTGCCATGCAGGCAATTGATCAAATAATTAACTCAGCTGCGAAGACCCACTATATGTCTAACGGGCGGGTACGTTAACGACATGTTACCTAAATAAATGCAACATTTTGAGCAGATCGAATGCCCATAGTGTTACTTTGTATAGGTCAATGTTCCAATTTTATTCCGCGGAGCTAATGGCGCATCGGCTGGCGTAGCTGCACAACATAGTCAGGATTACGCACCTTGGTATGCTAATTGTCCTGGCCTCAAAGTCCTCGCGCCATACAGTACTGAAGACGCCAGAGGTCTTACTAAGGCAGGCATTCGCGACAACGACCCAGGTTCGTAAAGCATTATTGCGTGTTCCACCCGTAACCACGATTTCTAATATTTCATTATATATTTAGTTGTTTCGTTGGAGAATGAAGTAATGTATGGTGTCACCATGGACACCCCAGACGAGGCAATGTCTCCCGATTTCGTAATTCCGATCGGCAAGGCTAAGATTGAAAGAGAAGGGACCGACGTGACTCTTGTCTCTTACTCAATTAGTGTCGGTGACTGCCTTGAAGCTGCTGATTTGCTGGCCAAGGAGGGGATCAGTTGTGAGGTGATTAATTTGCGAAGCCTTCGCCCAATTGACGATGCTTGCATTTTCAAATCAGTCAAAAAAACCCACCACCTTGTCACGGTTGACCGTGCGTGGCCTTCCTGTGGTATTGGAGCTGAAATCTGTGCCAGGGTTATGGAGAGTAAGCGGTGCTTTTTAGATCTTTTTTTAATGGATCCTTCGCGTAAACACACCTTTTTGTCTTCGAGGTGACACCTTCCACTACCTGGATGCTCCAGTGTATCGTGTGACTGGTGCTGACGTTCCTATGCCTTACGCTGCAAATCTTGAAAGTGCCTGCCTATCCAATGCCTCGAATGTCGTCACTACGGTCAAGAAGCTACTTAACCGCAAGTAGTTCGCTAGAATTGTCATCCCGGTTCTTACCTGAGTGTCACTAACTTCTCGCTTCTAGTGTTTTTGTGGGTGTTTGAAGGCCTTGCCTTCCCCTTTTTAATAAATTCTGTTTTTCTGTAACTTTTGGTTTTTTGTTCTTAAAACTAGTAGTACATCTATGTTGCTCGCTAAACTTACACAAAGTAGTGCGTTTCACAAATTCCATGGCGTTTTTCGAGCCACGATTCGTTTTCGATTAACCAGACCTCAACCTTACTGCTCTCTCAGAAACTCAGTTTACGGTTCTTCTAGTACCCCATTTTACAAAATCATAAGAATCTGGGTATGTGTGTTTTCCTTAATCGCAAATTGTATTAGACGGCCGGTTTTCGTCAAGTCCGGAACGTAGATTTACTTATCAACCAATCATTGGGTCGACTCGATCATGTTCTTTTCCTGTTTTGGGACATTTGACTTGAATGTTTTAGATGGTTGAAGGTATTTTTTCACCCCGTCCCATGGTAGTGGATTTCCACAACCATCCTTACCAGATGTTTCTTGTATTTCGTGATCAGGTTAGTTGGGCTAACACCTTAATCCAAGCTGTCAATGAAGGCGACTTGACAAATATATCCTGAAGGTTCCACGCTTAAACCATAACGTTCTAAGTTGCTTCTACAGTCCGATTAAACTCTCCGGATAATGCACCGACCCATCCCTTCTGTTCAGTTCACAGTCAGTGAACTGGAAGTTTTGAGCGTAGAAATAGGGCACGCTTATTCCCGCCTTAGTCATCAACTTGGGGTACCTTCTAATGGCTTGTGGGCATGTGGATAGTCTGTTAGACTTAAAAAGGGGGATCCATAGTCTACGATGCAAACTTCATTATCGTGGAATAATGGCGTATTGCGGCGTAGCGGTTGATGGATAAGCAATCACCAATTCTTGTTAAACACTGATTTAAATTTCTGGTACGCGAACGAGTCTTTGCTTCTCACTTGATCTAGCCGGAACCGGTAACAGCCCTGCAAGGTGAGACAGATTACTAGATGATTTCACATCTCTCGCCGGTAAGTGGAGGTCACGTCAAAAGTTCACTGAACGCACGGAATTCGCGTTCAGGCACGTGTGCACCGAATTCACTGTTTTATGAAGAAGGTCCTTGTAGAGTGTCTTTCATGTCTGCTTGCTTGCTCCACCATTGATCGGACTCTCAGTACAACTCAAATGAACTCGTCTTCCTGTTCATCAGTTTAAATGCAAGACATTTATGACGGAATAGCTCGTCATTGTAATAACCACGTTTATGTCCAGTTGGGGTATTGTAACACCGGTGAGCTCACTTGAAGTAATCAGAATTGGTTTCCGAAAATGACCCAAGAAAAGAAATGACCGGCTTTTACATTTACCGACTAAATGTGATTTTCGCTAGGGCTTGACTCAACTTAACTCTGATAAATGTGGAGTTTTCTCTCTTGTGGGTTTCTTTGAAGTTCTGTGAACCTGAGGTAGTTTTCTGCGACATCCACCTACTCGGGTAATGATTGGCGTCGAGTCGTTGCCACTAGTCTCGCCTACTCCGGATTCAACGATAAGTTCATCAAAGATGCCTTTTCCCCGGACGATAAAATTAGTGGCATTTGGGAGCAGACTTAAATTTTAGCTTGGAAATTGCTAGAAGACGCCGACTCAACATGGATTAAATTTCCAAGTGCTTTTTTATTACAGCGTTTAAAGTGTTTTGGAAGGAACAGGAGTCCTGCGTTAATGGTCTTAGAAGTATATTTCTCGATGTTATGTTTCAATACACAGGGGTCCCTACAATAGAAAATGGGGCTGACATTGGCGGTGAGGAGATATTGAGATAGGATCAAAGTAATGTTTAGTGCAGCCGCATTAGAGGTTTACTAATATCATTAATTTCCTTGGGAATTTTTAAATTCCATTTTTGCTTTGTGTTTTAACCTCTTCTGAAGTCACTAAAGGGAAACCCTTGACGTATGAGCTAATACCTTCGATTAATGACACCCAAAAAGGCAAGCATTCCCTCTGTCAATATATGACTTACTAGGCCTAGCTCATTGAGATTCAGTTTGTACCTGACAGTTGGGTTTCAACGATAGGCTCAGGCGCCGCGAATTCATGCTTCGGAAGCGTGTCGATAATGAAGTCACTAAATAGCAAACATGTAGCATGGGAAATAATGCACAATCTGCTTTACTGGTAGGCCTACTAAAAAGGGCTCACGTACACGTCATAATATCCAGTTGTGTTTTCAGTAGCTCTGCTTTAAACACGGAAGCGAACTACCTTACATGAGATCTGAGTTGACGGTGAATTTTGTTAAGTATGACTTTCAAGGCAAAAGTACTAGTTTTTGTCACCACGGTGCCTTCATGTCCTAATGTTAAAGAAATTAAAGCCGCCACTATTGTTCAAGAGCTGACTTGGGGCTGTATTCATAATTCTTGTCGGTGTTTTCAAACTGAATAACATGGTTACTACTTTAGTAAAATAGTTAGGTATTGCCACATTTGGGTATTTCAAAACAGGTAGCAGGTTTACGGAGAGTGCTAAAATAACGAGTTTTGCAATAATCGTGATTTACAAAGCACGAGGTTAGTAAACTTGATTTTCTACTGTCTTACAAATGCAAATTTCTGAGTATAAATGAGGAGGAATTTCGGTTGACAGGAGGTAGTTTTGATCGAAAAGACAAATCGAAAAACCCACCACTGCACTTTGCAATTAAAAGGGCAAGTGGAGATCGAGAACCAGATAATGCCAAATTTGTGTTCGAATATGGATACAATATTTGCCTAATGTAGACGCTCGTCGTCCAGTTTCGTCAATGCATTACTCCTTGGGGTATTCGTGAAACATTATAACATTGTTCGGCATCATCTTTTGTGGACAAGGAAATGGTGGAATTTCGTTTCCGTAAGTAAAGCGTGCTGTGGTCTATTTAAGTGTTATTCATGGAACTACCAATAAATATTAAAGTTTTTAAGACGAGCCATTTTTGAATGGCAAAAATCTGGAACTTGTGCTGTAGTTTGTAGGAATAAAGCATTTGTCGCATAGTTCTGAAACTAATCCTGAGTTCGAAACAAATAAGGTCCACTCCGGCATCGGTGAACTAGAAGATTAAACCTTCGTCAGGTCGCGCATAAATGCAACCATCAACCAAGACTGAATATGTAGTTGCATTGCAAAACAACAACGTTACCTAAATAGTAAGGATTCCGAAGAACAACCGTTTTTGATAAACTAAACTTTAAAACAGCTGAAAAAGTAATTATCGATTAGTTTAAAAAGGCGTTGTTTTAAATTCCCCGATATTACCAAACTGGATTAAGAATCGACTTGGCTGCACAACAATGATGAATATATATTTCCACAAATTAACTTTAGTTCTTGAATGCGCTTATATCTACTAATTATCATTTCATTGTAAAAATATTAACATATCCTATGCATTGTTGTTAAAAATCAATCACTTTACATTTAGAGTCGTTTGGCATCCAATGCATTCTTAGACTATCGTCAGAAGACGCCTCTCACTCGGCAGCTCAGGCATGATGCTCGTCGAATGGACTTTGATCGAAGATCTAGCAACTTGTTTATTGGCTTGAAATCTTTCGGTGTAAGTTTTGGTTAATAGCTAGGTTAATGAACTGGTTTTAATTCCGTTTAGCGTGACCAAGAAGGAAACTCGTGAATCATGAAATATGTATTTTACAAACGAAAGAGATTCCTTTTTTTCCTTAACTATGTAATAAAAGTGAATTCTTCAACTATAAAGGAAACCTTAACTTAAATCGCCTCGGACTGCTAGAAGCAGTATACTTTTGGTCAATAAACATGCGACCTACTCAAAGTGTCTTAACAAGTGATTAATCTAGTTTCATATGACACCATTCTAGTGAAAACAGTCACAAAATTGCATACTTACATTATTTTTACTTCGTTTTCATTGTATGGGTCTAATTCCATAAGTATCAGCTGCAGTTCCTCAGGTGACAATCCGACACCTAGTGTCTACAAATGAACAGATGATTTCGCGCTCTTCAAAAAAATTGCAAGTAGAAATTCTTAAATACTCCGAATAATGTGCACCTACCTTAGCCCACTACTTTATCTGGCTTTCCAACAATTGCACAAGTCAGTGTTAAAAATCCAAAAGTTATAGAAATATTCGATATCTTGGGATGTAGTTTTGCAAAGAGGCCTCTACGTGGTTATCTGGTTTTAAGGCTACAAAACTGAATTTCAGATTTCACTTGCTTAGTGAATAGATTTTGGAAAAAACTAACGTAATAAACGCATTTTTGTGCCTTGGTTAATCCAAATGGTAATATGGCCTTACGTGGTCGAGTCCAGTTTCGCCACACATGGCATTACATGGGTGCATGCTAATCAAAAGGCGTCTTGCCACAGGTTGTGCCGCCACCCCTCGACACTATCAATTAAGCTGGTGGTAAAAACATTACACAGAAAACTATCAAATAGCTTTTCTTAAAGGTGCAGAAAGAATTAAGACTAAAGGACTAAGAACACAGGCGTTAAGCGTTGCCCACATTATAAATACTTAATTTTCCTAAGAAAAATTGAGAAAGATAGCCCCTAAAAAATGTTAACAGTCTTACTATTGAGCTAATCTGTTCCAGATGGCACATTTAGTGCTAGTTCTAGTGGCATTAAGTATTATGGGAAGGCTGTCAACAGTTGGAGGAATCGATTTTCAGGATTTTGACCCATCAGTAATCGAACTTTTAAAAAGTGCTTCTCGTTTTGAATCTTGATTTACCTTACTGCACTCCCTACGTCTTCCTAATTGCCGATTTTCCTTTTGCAAGTCATGGCCTTAATGTCATTTATATCCTTGGCATTAGCATCCATGCATAAATCTTCACACCCTTTCACAGGACTTAGAAACCACCACTTACAAAGCAAAATGGCCAAAATTGGCAAAGGTTTTGGGCAGACAGTAAGCAACGTTTAAAAATAGACTTTTCCAAA